AACTGAGCAAACTCAGGGAGGCAGTGAAGGATAGGAAGGCCTGGCGCGATATGGTTCATGGAGTCACAAAGAGTCGGACATGACTTAATGACTGAACAACAACAACAACAAAGTAAAGCACCAAAATCTAACTTACCTGGGCACATGGGACAGCAACTTCCCTCCACATTAATTGGTTCCACGCAAGGAAGAGGAGGGCAACTAACTGTGGAACAGAGAGTCTGACCCTGCAAACAGTAGCAATGTGTGCAGCTATCAATGTCCCAACGTTCTTCATCTGCATAGGTTTTTCCATTAAAGTGACATACTGCCTTCTTCGTTGCTGTGTCTTCTATTGAAAGAACATGCCATAAAAATGCAATTTCAGAATAAGTGGAAGAGAAATCTTGGAATTATATTTCAGGCCTTAAACTGATTTTCATTTGTTTTTAACTTGCCCAGTAGGAATGTTGTCCTTTCCTGCAAATACCTGTTTAATCATAATGATATAGGAAACAGTAGTACTAAAGTTATATTAGTAAAGGAAAAAAAGGATCAAGCATTAAGAATAATCTTCTAATATGCTCAATTGTTGTTTTTGAAACATTATATTCAATTATTCTGCTTCCATTAATCGATCATCTACACCTATTATTTTATTATAGTTCATACATTTCTGGGTATATGTCTAAGCAGAATCTTTCCAACTCTTGATAAAATGAATTCCTAGCTGAAGGGCCTTGGGTGTTGCATCAGAGATAAAATTCTGAGATATGTCCCTTGGGAATTCACATTCATACATTAGTGAGGAAAACACAATGGAAATGTGGAGGTATTGCAATAATCTGGGACCTCACCTAGAGACAGGGGTTGAGATAGGTTGGAAAGTGGAATTTAAAGGACTCCTTCAACTAGTAAAATTATATCATGCAAAAAAGTACAACTTTAACTATATTAAAAATAAACTTGTTTGGAATCTAAATCTTAATCTTAATTTTCTATTTCAAAAGTCATTTGGGACACCTAGATTGTGCTTGGGCTGACAAGTCAAAATCCCCTATTTCATAGCTACTGATGGAAATATGAGCTTTTTTTTTTCATTTTCAATTTCCTGAGCTCTTAAAACATTTTGTTATTTCAGTTTTTCTAAGAGAAAGCAATAAGGTTTCTGGCAGAAAGTTAGAAAGGATGAACTCAGTAAGTATATGCATGTGTATGTTTATGTGTATACACACACATACATATACACACACACTTCACATACACAGTGTATAGTCAGAGGGAAGCCCTTTTGAATATGGAAGAAAATGTTATCACTGAAGAATGTATGTGTTAGCTTTAAAATGAGAAATTTAAAAAGCGCTTCCCAGCAGCATCCACAACAAAATACTGTGTGCTGATATCTTCATCTAATTGCCGTGATTATATATTTCTGTCCCAATGTGTGACAAAGGTATGTAAGGCACAGTATTTGCACGATGTCATCCCAGCACACATCTCATCCTTTGCCCCCTCCTCCTTCTCCCCCTCCAGACGTTCATAGTTCTTATGGATATAGTCCTCGCAAAAAGCAGAAATAAGTGTATTCAAGGAATGGTTTCAGATATAATGCAGTGAATACCGAACACTGAATACAGTCTGAAGCAATGCGATTCTAACTGAAGTTAACTATGATTCTAGCTGTAGACTTTGCAGAAAACAACAGCAGCATTATCGTGTCCTCTCCTTTTTGCTAATGGTACCTAGTGAAACAAAACATGCAATCACTCTGCTTCCAAAAACCTGCAAGGCGTAACTGAAAAACAAGTAATGTACTATCCCATAATGATTTTGCAATTGAGGTATTATATGAGACGGGAGAAGACAGGCTGTAAGCGTGCCTTTTTTTTCCTTTCTTTTTTTGGCCTTCTTGCAACCTGAGCTTCGCTGATATAAGTGGAAGAAGTACTTGTGACTAATACAAATTATGGCTAGATCAAGCCCAAATGTATGATGAATCTATTTTTGCTATGATTTATCCGCTACTTAATTCTAACAATACCATATTACTATCATATGACATTACCTATGACTTTTGCTTGTGCTGATACTTAGCTATAGAGAACTAGCAGGTAAGGTATAATTATTAATTATACTATAGTTCCCAATATATGTACTAAAAGGCATCACAGATAAATCAGAAAATACAATTAAGGCCTAAATTGACAGAGCATCATAACATTAAATAAGATTGGGAAAACAGCACTTCCATCATATCCCTTTTTCCCCTTTCCAGCGCTTACCTATACAGTAAGGACAACATTGCCCTTTTCTCAAAACAGGTCTTTCACAGGATACTGGTGGGCAAGACTCAGAGTAGCAGCTGATTCCACCATCCAGGCAAATGCAACTGGTACAAACATTGGGTTTCCACGACTCAGCAGTTAAGAAGATATCACCATCAGTGTTTTTGCAGTAACTGGGCATGCTCTTATTGGTTGACGAGGATGGCTGGACAGGCTCATCTAGAAAAATAAACATACAGCATAGGAATGACAGGAAACGGCAGGGATATACTTTTCGTTTTAAATCCATGTTGATACAGACGTTCTGAAGAGGAATTGGAATTGCTTCCCACTCTAGAATTGGAACTCCTGATTGTGCAAGGTTTTTGATCACATGGAATGCTGTTAATCAAATCAACTCTATCTTCAACTCCCTGCCATGCTTAGGTTTCTGTAATTCCTGAACTGGCGTATTCTTCATGAAAGTACTGAGGAACTGTGAGCAATGTAACTTGGCATCTACCAGCATCCTTCAAAATATAATTTTTCATTAAAGGCTTCTCCTCAATGGTCCTTTCCCCAGAACAAGGGATTCCTGGACATACTTGGAAAAGGCAGCCCAGCACCGAGAGAAAGTTTATATGAAGGAACAATATTTTATTTATTTATGCCCACCCATCAGAAAATAGCGTTTCAGATTTTTTTTCCCTGAATACAAAAGGAGTAGAAAGGGGCTGAACTATATTTATGGTTTGTTTTATCAACAGCTGTGAGCTTCTTCTCACTATTCTCAAGGAAAGAGAGGAAAAACAACAGGTGTAGCCCCTATGATTTTGGCCTTCCCTACTTTTTTGGTCTTGCCTTCCTGCAGGCTCATACACCCCTGGGCAGGAGATAACAAGCAGCTACATCTGCATGTTAAACAACAACTAGTTCATGTTTATGAACAGATACACACCCCTATTTTGTAATAACACTGTTAAAAAAAGGGTGGGCTGACACCTATGTATTATCAGAATAAGAGAGAATAGCTTATATCACTAAGTCATGACAGCTTCTTTTAACTAGAACTGAAGATTTACTGTTTTGCTAATTGAACAAGAAATCATCGTCATTGCAAGGAGGCTGATGAGCTGCTTTTGTATTTGTTTAAAGTCTATGGTGTGGAGGGAAAGACTCAAGGCAGCTGATGTGAGTTTTCCTTCCTACTGGTTTTGTGTTCCCGAAGACTTTAAGAGTAAAGGACCACAGTAAAGGACCGAACTCCAGAGAGATAAAAGAGAAATGCTGCCACAGCGCAGGGTATGGATGATGTTGGTGGAAGAGAGAAAGGAAATTGAGTGGGAGAGCTAAAGAAGAAAGCAGCCACGTGGGGATGTCAACAGTCTAGTGGAGTGAGCAGTGAGACTCTGAAGTTATCACAATGGACTACCGTAAGGAGTAGCAGCCTCCCAAACCTCCCAAAAATGCAGACCAGCTACAGTGAGCCAGCAACAAGCAATGGTTTTCCTCCCTGCTACAACTGTTAAGAAGCAACTCAGTAGAAGGAAGCAACCACCAGGTTACTTCAGCCTACAGCAGAACCTACTGAAGTAGAAAGCTGGAGGAAAATATAGGGCTAAGTGTAAGTTAGAAGAACATTAAACCCTGAGTAAAAGGAACAGAATTCCCAGTCCTGAAAGGAGAGGGCCAGGGAAAAACTGTATTATGGCTAGGAAAGATGGGCAGTTAAGAACACAGAGTAAAAAGGGAAACTTATAACCTTGTTAAGTACTGTCGCTTGTCACTTATAAATATATCATTAGGCACAGATAAGTAGAGAAGCTGTATGTTAGTAGTTATATTTTGTATAATAACCCTACCTTGTTTAAATACCACAGGAAAAGCATTCAGTCTCCTGGTTTTGGCTTGTACCATATCTTAATTGTAACCCGGTCACACTGTGACAAGTTACAGGAAAGGGGAGAATAAAGATATGTGGAAGTTTTTACCTCCCAGAATTCCCCAGCCAGCTGGGAGTTGAAATCCACACAACTTAACGTTGCCAAGAATGAAAAGCACTGGCCTATTCTATTGCTGTTCCATTATTTTGTATTCTATATAGTTTGGGACACATGATATTAATTTATTAGAGTCTAGTTAATACTTTGCTAAATGAAATATTTCTACTAACTTCAATGAAACTACCTTTTAAAAACTTTGCTGGATTATATAAAATGAGGATAAGCAATGTTTGGGTAGCTAACTCCATCAATGAACACTTCTACAAAAGAAATGCCCCTGGTGAGGGAAGGAAATCCAGGGAAAACAACAGGAGAAGTTAGAGAGGGCTATGGGATGACCTGATAGAGAGCAGAATGGAGGATAATGGAGTCTCTCTGTGAGGTGTGTGTGAGAGAGAAAGACAGAGAGAATGTGTGTGTGTACTTATCCCAAAAATGAAAAATACATGATTGGAATTAACAGATTTTGTGTAGTGGAACCATTGGATAAGAGTTACAAAGTTTGAGTGGATAATCTTATATAAGAGAGACAAATTTAAGTTCAGAAGAGTGGGCTTATATTTGGAGACTCAATTCTGCCTTCTCTTCAGGTACATTAGTGCCCAAGAGCAACATGCTCGAGAACTATAATTCAAGATTATATTTTGGAATAGAATTCTGCATAGGAATAATGAAGTACTTCATCATGTGGTTGCTGAACTCTGGATATTTTTAAATATTGTTTTCTTCAAATACTATTGATTATACTTATTCTTGAGATCTAATGATATAGGGCAAGTTAAACCATTTTAATAAATATGCTGAAATATATTAGATGAAGCTAACCTGGGCACTGGGGACAACAGGAGTCCTGAGTACGTGTGGGATTTCGACAAAGTAGAGGGGGACAGACTTCGGTTTCACATAAGACTCTTGCATTATGACATGTACACTGGGTACAAGAATCAATGTTCCATGTATCTCCTTCCACAAAATATTCTCCTCCTGGAACATAACAGATGGTTGGACCACTGATTTCTGGCTTCTGCACAATGGATTCATCTGTGAAAAATAGAACCCCCCAAAGCAATAGAAAATTACATTGGTTTTCCATTAAAATATATAGATTCAGTTGATCGTAATGGTTTCTAAATCTATTGCAAATGATTATATTTGTAAACTAACACATTTTAAAACATCTTAGTTTCTACCATTCTAATAACCAAGAAATAAGGTTAATACAGCGCTATGATAATAAAGGCAAGCTTTATTTTCAGGATTGCCCACTGAATGCTGTAAGAACATATAAAGCAACAGCAAGGTATTTAGGGATGGGGCAAAGACCAGTTCAGAAATTTCAAATAAAGAGATACAATGGGGGAAAGGTCTAGCCCTTGGCCTTTACTCTGTGGGGTGCCTCAGGGCTCAGTGCTTTTTCTTCTGTTTAACATATACATGAAGCTGCTAGGTGAGGTCATCCAATGGTTTGGGGTGAAGTATCATCAGTATGCTGATGATACTCAGCTTTGTATCTTCACCACAGGTTGTTTGAATGTTGCTGTAGAGGTTCTATCTCAGTGCCCAGAGGCTATGGGAGTCTGGATGGAGCATAACAGGCTTCAGCTCAACTCTAAAAGCGGCTCTGGGTTTTTGGACTACCTGGTTCCGGGGACCTTCTATCTTTGGCTCCGGATGAAGTTGCACTGTAATCTGGTGTGCAATCTGGGGTTCCTCCTGGACTTGTGGCTTCTGCTTGAGAAGCAGGTGGCGGCTGTGGTTAGGAGGGCCTTTGCACAGCTATGATATGTGCATCAGTTGTGCCCGTTCCTGGGCAGGGACGCCCTACTCACAGTCACTGATGCCCTAGTGACCTCCTGATTGGAGTATTGTAATGCAGGGTACATGGGGTTGACCTTGAAGAGCATTTGAAAGCTTCAGCTGGTGCAGAATGCAGTGGTGTGGGTAATTAGGGGCACCTATCATGGTGGTAGTCACCTTTATGGCTTGGGTCCCAGTTAGTTATGATACTCTCTCTCTGGTTGTTTGACCCATCCCATTCAGTCTGGCAGGAGGTGCGTACTCCAGGTCCTGTCTGCTAGGAAGTGTCATTTGGTGGGGCCCAGGAGGACAGCCTTTTCTATCATGAAATATCATCCCTCAGGATGTTAGATTGACTCTGACTCTGCTGGTCTTCCGCAAGACCTTGAAGATTTGGTTTTGTGCTCAAGCCTGGGGCCCGGGTCTGTGGTGGAGCCCATTTCCTGGTTGTATTGATTGTATATTATTTTTAAATTTTTCCTCAACTGCTATGTGGTTTTATTATTTTTAATATTGTTAGTCACCCAGAGTCATGTATTTGAGATATAAAACCAATAAATAAATCCAATAAATAAATAAATAAATCCCAGCAAACCAAAACCTGGTTCTTGCCTGCTTATAATTCCAAAGAAGGTAGTTAAAACTAGACATATAAATACATTTCATACACTTTCCACATACTTTTAATCTTTCTGAGTTGTCTAATGTGTGGATATAAGAAGGTAAAAGAAACTACACTGTGATAAATACCTACTTAATTATATACAAAAAACATGGATCAGTCACAAGGTTCAGTTTTATTCCTGATTCACTTCAGACTGATTCTGAGCCTTCAGTTCAACTCTAGGCTCAAATCTGATTAAGATATCTGATCTTTGCCCTTTACTTCCAGTTTGTATAACTAAATGGAACAGCTACAGGAACAGCTGCACTTTACTTCTCTTTCTGTTTTTTGGCAATCAAAACTGCCTAAATATTTAAGAATATTTATCCCTTTTTGGACTTCCAAAATTACATTCTCTTCATCTAATTAAATTACTAATGATGTGTATAAAATATTTCTGCCTTTGAAAGCTAAAATTATTATGTTCAGGGTGCATAAGATTAGTGCCAAGTGTTAATTTATAAAGCCTATGCAATTATATGGAAGCACTGCAGGTTTCAACTGGTTTATCTAGCAAGTATCTCAGACTTTTTTTACTTACAAGATCTTTCTTGGCAAGACAAAAATGGAGATATACAGTTAAGAAGCAAGTTTGAGTTTATAATTTATAAAATGGTACCTGGGCACGATGGACAACATTGTCCTGGGTGTATTGTCGGATTGCCACAGTTGGGTACAGAACAAGTGATCAAAGCACACATCTCCCGTCCATTATGACAATAACATTCACGGCAGCCATCATGCCAACTTTCTTCATTTTCATGACGGTGCCCATCTATTGACAAGCAAGTCCCTGCCTTAGCAGGTGGTATTATGGAAGCTGGCATCTCTGTATATGATAAAAAATACAGTGGTTTAGTATAGCTGTTTTTAACAACCAATGATATATTTCTTATATTTATTAAAGCACTTTAGCAATATAATCAAACATTGAACACTACTATGGATAGCACAGATTTCTAGTAAGGACAGCTTACAAATGTGTAAAATCCAATTAAGCAAGGCCTAGGCAGACATATGAAACCATGGAAAAATTAACAAAACACCTGAGAGGGAAGGAAGAAAGTGCTCCTCTCCACAATTCATAGCAAGAACAAATGGAAATTCTGGGAAGCAAAATATCAACAACAATGCAATAATTAATCTTTCAAATGATCAAACACTTGAAAACAAGCTTTTAATCAAAATATGTAATGTGAATACTTTTATACAAGACTGTCTGTAGCACTAAAGAATTATTAACTTGCATATTGCAGGTATTTATATTAAATACTCATATGCAGTATGAATTTCTGCAGAAAGAAAGTGCCATTATCCTCCTCCTTTTCACCTTAATATCTACTTCTCAGATACCAAAGCTTTAAGTAGCAGAGGGTGCAGTTGTTTGCATCTCTCTCTCATATTATGGGGAAGACTTATAATCTTTCATGCACAGAACTAAGGCATTTATATTTTTGAGGATGCAGTCTTATATATGCTTACATGGAACTAAACACCACTAGATAATTTAAGTTTTGAGGACTGGTTACTTTGTAGAATTCATAAATATATGAATCACATTCTATGTTATAATTGTATAAACCCTAATATAAAGTGTACTCTATTGCAGTAAAATAAACTTTGGTTAATTTTTTACTTATTTAATTTGCAACATATAAACAAACAAACAAACAGTGCATTGTAAAACAAAGTACCAGCCTTCATTTACAAGAATCTCCTTAGTCCCAATGGGTTTATAGGTATTCTTAAAAACTAACAATAGGGGGTTGTTTTAGTTTAGTGCTTGTCTGAAAGTGTGCCAGCTACCCAGTCAAAGAAAAAGGTAAGCTGAAGCCATAGAGAAACAGGGGAAGGGAGAGAATATTTTTATTTTTATTTACATTTCAAATTTGTCACTGCCCATCTCACCGCAGAGCAACTCTGGGTGAGAAATTAGTTGCTTTCTAATAAATTATTCTGTGACTGGCCACATTCCTCCATGTAAGCCATTTGGGAGACTGCTGCTGAGACGTTATTAAATATTCCAAATGCCTCCACCCGTTCCCAAAGGTGGTGGAATGTTGCATATATTCAATTTTCTCCCAAATCTCATTCTCTATGCCCATTAAACGTAAGATGTGAAGGGACAATAGTTTCTGTGGCTTTAAAATTTCTAGAAATTTATACCTATACTGTGGGATAAGTGTACAAATGATTACAAGCTGTAAGATCTAGAGAGAGTCTGTAAGTTTTTTTTTTGAAGTTTATACTATATTAAAATATTTTTTATCTGCTTAACTACATACCCTATATTTAAAGGATATTCAAATACTGTATTATCATTACTTCTCCCCTTATCATTATGATAGATAACACTAACTTTTACAGCTTGTAGAGAATTGTCCAACAAGTGAAAAGTCTACATTCTTTTCATATTACATCCTTGGTTATTTTTCTGGAAGCCCATTGGACAGATCTTCCCACATGAAAGCTCTGGGCATTTCTTTCTAACTCTTTTGGGGATTTGACTATGAAGAACATAGCCTTATTGTCTCCTCCACCCATATTTAATGTTTACTTAATGCCAAAAGCATGCTATGTATGAAAGGACTGGGAGGTCTGTGCTATTATTTCCCAGGCCACACCAAGGACTCAACTAAAAGCTGCTTTTCTGCAGGTGAGAAAGTCCTAATTCTTCGTCCAAAACTGCTTCTGTTCTTTCACTAAAAGATGGCAATCTGCCTGTCTGTTCCCTATCATACAAATTAGATCCCTCAATGGACTCCATGTAATAGGGTTTGGCTGAAAAAAATATTATACTAAGGCCTACATGTTTTATAGATGGGATGAAATAAACAGGTATTCAAAACTTTCAAGATTTTGACTAACATTCCAATTAACCAAATAAATGGATTACTGAACATAGATTGGAGCTGGTTACAAATCACACTATTTTAATCCTGTTTGATGTCAAAGAATGTAAAAAATACATTGGAAATAGTTGTACATACCAGCACATTTGCAGATATTACATCCTTGGTTATTTTTCTGGAAGCCCATTGGACAGATCTTCCCACATGAAAGCTCTGGGCATTTCTTACAACGACAGATTTCACATCCATGTTTGTTTTTGCTAGATAATGAAGATTATTTATCTTATTTTTTTCATAAAAAATCACTACAATTTTTTTCTGGAATTACTTGAAAAATAAATTTATTTAATAATGTTGATTAACCTGATGAAAACAAAAATGTAGGCCTTATGTTCAGTTCATATGACTGGCTGCCAATATCTATTTAACATCAAATTAAATAAATGTTCACTTATGAGTAGTTCTTTGGTAGACAGAAAAATCTGTATCTGCAATACAAATAGAAATCTAAAAGAAGAGAAACATACAATAACTCTGTTTATTAAATTGAACTTCTTCTCTTTTCCAATGAAAAGCAACCCTAAGTAATAATTTTGCATGTTTGATTTGAATTATAATGAAGCAATGCAGTGTGAGCAAGTGATGAACAGAAGGAAAGCATTTATTTGAGAAAGTTGAATATGTAGCTCTTCACTACAAGTAGTGAATATTCCCACTTTTAAAGTATAATGAAGAACTAATTAAAAAAATATGCACATTCCCCTAAACTAAAAATTAAAATTAATAAAAAAACCCACACAGATTCCCCTAAACCTACTCTTTATGCTTAAATTATCGTATATCTTTATGCCACCCTTCCAATATGAATTACAGCTACTTCATAAACAACCATAACATTAAAATGCAATATAACGCAACACCCCCAATTTAAATACAGACTTAAATTAAGAGGCTCAGTCTAAAAAAAAAAAGTGTACATTATTGAAAAGGCCTAAAATTACAGACTATTAGAAGTTCAAACAAACTAAATCCCTCTCCCTCCAGGTTTCCTCTCTCCTGGATCAGATGATACTTTGAACATTTCTGAGCTCAGCTGCTGTCAGTGATATACTCAACTGCCAACCTAAACTTCCCTATACACATTTGCCTTTCTTCCAGGCTAAACAAAAGAAAGCCCCTATGGAAAAATTAACTATTGCACTTTGGCTATAATCATGCTGAAGAGTTCTGCCTATACATTAAAGGTAGGAGCAAATCCATGACATGTAGAAAGCTCTAGGTTCAATTCCTACCTCTCCAGATGAGGGTTTAAAAAACTCCAACCTAAAACATGGAAAACTGTTTCCACTCAGAATCAAAAGTACTGGAATAGACAGACAAATCATTTGAACTGCTCAACTGGTTTGCATATAGCGTGCAGAGGTAATGTGATTTGCTTGTTTTTGACTTAGTCTAAGTGTGAATCTACTCACGGTAGCTTAACGTTATATGAGAATCAGACTTTTATGACTTCAACGAATCATAAAAATCCTGATTTATTGTTATATGTGAACAAATCAACGGAAGACAGCTTTCTAGACATCGCTTCCTCAGAGCTGAATCATTTTAGTATTATCTCTTAAACTTAACTCCATAAATCTTGGAATCTCATTAGGGGGTTATTTTTAATTTTTGTTTTCCTTTAGAAACGCTGCACATTGTCTGAGTCAGATTTACAAAGTATAAAGCTACTCGCTTATTTTGGGATAATTACTTTACATTTTGTCTGAACTTGATATTATAGGGAATTAATATTCTATTCATGTATCCAAGAAGTTTAAAGAAATCTTTATGGGGATTTTCTTGGATACCATCTCTTACTCAATGCCTCTTTTGGAACAAACAAATGAAAAGACAATAGAAATTATCAAGCTATGATTTCACAGAAGGTATTTTTGATGCTTCTGGACCAAAGGTTGGGATACTGGTACTATGATGATTGTACTATGAACTTGACTCCTTACATGATTTCTACTGTCTATCTTCCTCCCTTACCAGGTGGGATTGCCATCAGATTGAAAAGCTCATCAATTCTCCAGTGTAATAGAAAAAGAGTCTGGACCCACTCTTTTCATCCTCTAGTGATTTGTCTATCCTTTTGGGTGAAAGATTCACAGATGGGAGAGACTTAGAAATTCCTGGGATATTCCATTCACGTGTAAATTTGTTGGCTGACCGATGGTTTAGCCATATTGATGTTTAGACTGTCAGCATGTATTATTCTGGGGAGAAAGTTCCTATCCTTACCATTCTCTTCTGGGAGAATGGGAACTCTGTTCCAAAAGAAAAGTCAAGTTGCAAGCCAGCTTTATGGGTGAAAAGGACAATCTGAAAGGTCCTTGAATGCTCTCCTAACTCTCCCTAGATGGCAAGTTTACATTAAAAACACCATGGTTAAAGAATGGTTAATGTTTAATAGCTTTAGTTGATAGTTAATATTTTTAAGCAATAAATTCAATGTCCACAAGTTATAGAAAAATAGAAACAATGCTCTGCCTCAAAAGAATGTACACTGAAGTAAAGTTAACAACTAAGCTACATGAGACTGCATGCCAACTTTTTACTGTATATTTATTTAAAGAAAATTTATTTATTTAAAGTATTTTTACTTGTTTCTTTACCCAAAAAGGCTTCCACAGAGGCTTACAAAAATCTTTAATATGGCAATGACCACTGGGAGAAACAGTACAGAAACAGTGGAATTACAATCACTAGACTATGGATGAGAGAGGGCTAAAGATGTCTCTACAGGGACAATGGAATATTCTGTATTTCTTCTTTCCCTTTGCTCTACAACTTGCTGGAGTAGCTGTTGAGCAGGGTCAGATAAATGACTTTCCACAATAAGCGATGGCGTCTCTTCTCTTGTTCTATTTGTCAACGGGTAGGAATTGCTGCTGTTGCATACTTTCAGTTTTTTGTACTGAAACAGCAACCATTTCTCCACTTGGGTACTATGTAATGATCACAATGCAAAGTGATCTCATTCTTCAAATCATTTGAAGAATTTGTTTGTGAGGGGTTAGCTCTTTATAGATTTTCACTGGGAAACAGTAATTGAAAAAGGGGTAAAGCCTAATGCTGCCCCTCCCCATCAGATATTTTATTTTTGAAGTTCAAGTCAACAGAAATGCAATCTTAAATATGCTTACAAGTGAGCATCACTAGACATTGGATTTTTTCCCCTGAATATAAGGGCTGTGCTGTAAATTTCTACATAATTCTCATGACACCACTACTACCATAAGCTAGATCTGAAAAAGAAAAAAAAATCACTAATGATATACAAGGATTAATATTTCAGATGTGACTTGTACATTTGTCTTTTAAGCTTGGGTCAGATTTATATTCAGGTACAAATCCCCCCAGATAAGGAACTGGTTTTATTGTATAGGTTGCGACAGCAATTGGAACTGGAATTGCCATAGCTAAGCAATGCGGTTGTAAAGCACAATGTCATGTGATCATGTTGCTTAGCAATGGCAGTTCTGGCAGTTGCCATTGTCAAGCGAGGACCACGCAGGTCATTAAGTGAGGACCTCATGTGACCGTGACTTCTGACTTCCTACCAGCTTCCCCACTGTCCATGCTTGTGTGAAGCTGGCAGGGAACACTGGAAATCATGATCACATGACCACAGCTTGCTGCAATGTTGTAACTGTGAGCTGGGCACAAAGTGCCCAGATCACAATCACATGACTGTGGGGATGCTGCAAAGGCTGGAACTCTGAGGGCCAGTCCTAAGTCCCTGTTGTTCAGCATCATCGCAAGTTTGAATGGTTGCTGAACAAGTCATCCTAACCTGAGGACCAGCTGTATTGAAAGAAACCCTCTGGTTTTTATGGCATTACAATGCATGGTTTAATTAATTTGTATTTGTTTTAATTAAATATTTGGGGGAGTTGTATGCTGGTAAGAGTCAGCTGTTTGGAGAGCCTATAAGCCCTGTAAATAAAGAAAACCCTTATTTGGATTTCCAGGACTCAGAAGCATTTGGTAAACATGGCAACAACCACAAACTATAAGTAATTTAAGTAATATGCATCCTACAACAATATTAGCAATTATTGTAACTATTATTATTACTAATACTGCTATACCAGCAACTGATCTCAGGGACTGTATAGAAACAATGTGATTTATATCTAGACTCCTATAATCTTGGTCAAGCTATAGTCCTGTATATTTTATTTTCTCTCCGTCAGCCTTTATTCAAACTTTCAGCTGCAACCATTGCTTTATCCACTAGATGGGGTACCAGTATAGAATCTGACCCCATGAACAAATATGTTCACATTCAATCTCGCCTTGGTTGTCTGAACAGCATTTTCTTAGAGTAATAAGCAGTTAGTCTCCATAATTAATGAAACGAAGTAAGAAAGGGAGCCTTTACTTTTACATGGAGCAGTTAGTTTACAACTCTGATTTCACCCTTAACGCTACTGATATTTTTCATTTCTGGAGGAATCATTGTCATCTCTTTTGTTGTATATCTTGCCTAAATTTGGATTAATTATGGGACAGAACAATTGCCAAGACTCATCATGTCCCCTGGCAGTTAGCCCTTCTTGCTTATCTCCACGGGACCAATAATTATGCCAAGAGCAACTGCAACTGGATTGCCCAGATTTAGAAACATTAGGCCAGAAAGCTCAAACAGTTGAGGGTTCAATTGGTAGAAGAGGATTTTCTGGAAAGTGTAAAAAAGAACAACCGGTTATGAAAATTTCTCAGACCATGGCTTATGATTTCTAGAGGAAGGATTGCTGTTGTGAGATAAATTGCATCCCACAAGAACTGGGAAGAATGTATTTGATTGAAAAATGGTAAGCTTGATCAGGGTGACTTTAAACTAAATATTGTGGGATCTGAAGAAAGAAAATCCAGATGCAAGATCTTTGGATAAGAACTTTATGTACCTGCAGAGGAAAGGACTATAGTGGGGTCTGTTTTATTAATATGAGGAAGGACATTGGGTCATGAAATTGTTATTTATATATTAACACTCAGAGCAAGGGAAACAAACTAGATGAGCCTAAAGACTTAATAAAGGAAGGCATATATAACAAAGACCTGGTGGACTGAATCTCATGACTGGCTTACAGCAACTGAAGACACAACTTGTTCCACATTATTAGGAGCCTTAATAAAGGAAGGCATATATAACAAAGACCTGGTGGACTGAATCTCATGACTGGCTTACAGCAACTGAAGACACAAC